GGTGCCTGACGCCCCCCATCGCTACGGCCGCCCTTTGTCAGCAGGAGCCCTGACGCTTCTTTTCCTCACTTCCAAGATCAAGAACAATCACCTGAACCAGGCGATTCACGAGGAGCGAGAGGCCATCATCGAACTGCGGGTGCAGCTCCGGCTGCTGCAGCGAGCCAAATCGGAGCAGCAGGTGCAGGAAGAGGAGGGGCAGGAGAAGCGCGGGGGCGTGCCGCAGCAGCAGAGAGACACTGTCCCAGAGACGAAAGCAGCCAAAGAGCAGCCAAAAGCCAGCAAGGAGCAGCAAGTCAAGCCATCGCCGAGTAAAGACCGGAAAGAAACTCCCATTTGATCAGGCTCCTTGGATATGCATAAAGTCGACCGAACTGTGCAAATTACTGTAATTTGGGTCACACTGCACAAATCATTGCTGGCTGTGTACATTCTGTAAAGAAACACTTAGTTTAAGCCCTGGAGACTTCTGTCTCTGGTACTTGTGGCTTCTGCTCATCAGCCTCCGGTGAGTTTGGAGAGGCCCGAAGATGTTTCCAGTTAGTATCAGATGATTTCCAGACCGGTTTCCTTCAGGTAATTTAAAATAATTCAGTAACAGTTTTATTTTTGAACCAAAATCATCATTATTTACGTTCACTGGAGCGAAAGTGGAAGATCCCGTTTTCAGTCAATAAACAAAAACCCCACCCACACTCCGTACTTACTTTGCCTTGTGAATCTCTTCGTCCTCACTCACCGCCCTCTCTGCTTGTTAACCCCGTCGGTCACCTCTTGCTCGTGCCTTCGACACCTTTCTGATGCCAACCGGATGCAAGGGAGCTGTAACCTCGCCCTGGGAGATGGGGGGTACCTGACACGCCCTTCAGCTGTACTGCCAGGGGTGCTACCTCTGTCCCTGGGCGATGGAAACTCCCAGCGGGAGCTGGCAGTGTCCCGGAGCCATGTCAGTAACCCGCTCTCACCCTTTCCCAACCCACCGTCCCTGCACCTGCGTACAACAGGCTGTGCGCACTGCTGCCGCACGGCCGGGAGCATCCCCCTCACCCGCTCGAAGGGTTTCGGCCCCCAGGGAAAAGCGGTGACGGGGGATGGGTTATGTCACTACGCTAGATCCGCCCGACCGAGCAATACAGCCTTCCCCGCTGCCGGAGCCTGCTGTCCAGCGAGCCTGAGGAGCCGCGGCGGGGGGCTGGCCCCCA